AAGTAATTTGTTCCCATCTTTTAGGACATGGGTGTCAAACTCGCCATATCACGTGGACATGTCGCAACGTATCACGACTCTTTTTGCATTGCTGGCAATGGGGTGGGCGTAGCTTTGGTATGATGAAACTGGGCCAGCAGTTTGACACCCCTGTTTTAGGAGAACAGACAGAATTTGCATTTAGGGAAGTAATAGACAGCAGGAAAAGCATTTTAGGAATTTGGGGATAGAGGTGAAGAAACAAGATGTAGTAGATGTGCAAACATTTATAAACTATTTTTTAAATTATTATTATTATTGCTCTTACAGTTTCATTATCATTCAAATATGGGGCCACTTTTCATGTTGTTGTTAGTTGCGAAGTCGTGTCCGACCCATCGCGACCCCATGGACAATGTTCCTCCAGGTCTTCCTGTCCTCTACCATCTTCTGGAGTCCATTTAATTCACACCTACTGCTTCAGTGACTCCATCCAGCCATCTCATTCTCTGTCGTCCCCTTCTTCTATTGCCCTCAATCTTTCCCAGCATTAGGCCCTTCTCCAGTGAGTCCTTCCTTCTCATTAGGTGGCCAAAGTATTTGAGTTTCAACTTCAGGATCTGGCCTTCTAAAGAGCAGTCGGGGTTGATCTCTTCTAGGACTGACCGGTTTGAACGCCTTGCAGTCCAAGGGACTCGCAGGAGTCTTCTCCAGCACCATAGTTCAAAGGCCTCAATTCTTTGGCGTTCAGCCTTTCTTATGGTCCAACTTTCACAGCCATACATTGCAACTGGGAAAACCATGGCCTGGACTATACGCACTTTTGTTGGCAGGGTGATGTCTCTGCTTTTTAGTATGCTGTCTAGATTTGCCATAGCTTTCCTCCCCAGGAGCAAGCGTCTTTTAATTTCTTGGCTGCAGTCCCCATCTGAGGTGATCTTGGAGCCCAGAAAAATAAAATCTGTCACTACCTCCATTTCTTCCCCATCTATTTGCCAGGAATTGAGAGGGCCGGATGCCATGATTTTGGTTTTCTTAATGTTGAGTTTCAAGCCAACTTTTGCACTCTCCTTCTTTACCCGCATCAAGAGGCTCTTTAGTTCCTCTTCACTTTCTGCCATTAGAGTGGTATCATCTGCATATCTTAGGTTGTTGATATTTCTCCCGGCAATCTTAATTCCAACTTTTGATTCATCTAGCCCTGCCTTTCTCATGATGTGCTCTGCATATAAGTTAAATAGGCAGGGCGACAGTATACAGCCTTGCCGGACTCCTTTTCCAATTTTGAACCAATCAGTGGTTCCGTGTTCAGTTCTCACTGTTGCTTCTTGACCCGCATATAGGTTTCTCAAGAGACAAATGAGATGGTCTGGTACTCCCATCTCTTTAAGAACTTGCCACAATTTGTTGTGATCCACACAATCAAAGGCTTTTGCATAGTCAATGAAGCAGAAGTAGATGTTTTTCTGGAACTCCCTAGCTTTCTCCATGATCCAGCGTATGTTGGCAATTTGATCTCTAGTTCCTCTGCCTCTTCGAAATCCTGCCTGTACTTCTGGTAGTTCTCGATCCACATACTGCTGGAGTCTAGCTTGTAGGATTTTAAGCATAACTTTACTAGCATGTGAAATGAGTGCAATGGTGCGATAGTTTGAACATTCTTTGGCATTGCCTTTCTTTGGAATTGGAATGTAAACTGACCTTTTCCAATCCTGTGGCCACTGTTGAGTTTTCCAAATTTGCTGGCAAATTGAGTGTAGCACTTTTACTGCATCGTCTTTTAAGATTTTGAATAGCTCAGCTGGAATACTGTCACCTCCACTAGCTTTGTTGTTGCTCAGATTTTCTAAGGCCCATTTCACTTCACATTCTAGGATGTCTGGTTCGAGGTCAATGACCATCTCATTGTGGTTATCTGGGATGTTAAGCTCATTCTTGTATAGTTCTTCTGTGTAGTTTTGCCATCTCTTCTTAATCTCTTCTGCCTCTGTTAGGTCTCTGCCATTTTGGTCCTTTATCATGCCCATCTTTGCATGAAACGTTCCCTTCATATCTCCAATTTTCTTGAAGAGATCTCTGGTCCTCCCTATTCTGTTGTTTTCTTCTATTTCTTTGCACTGTTCATTTAAGAAGGCATTCTTATCTCTTCTAGCTACTCTCTGGAATTCTGCATTCAATTGGGTGTATCTTTCTCTTTCTCCTTTGCCTTTCGCTTCCCTTCTTTCCTCAGCTATTTGCAAAGCTTCCTCAGACAGCCATTTTGCTTTCTTGCATTTCTTTTTCTTTGGGATGGTTTTAGTTGCTACCTCTTGTACAATGTTGCGAACTTCCATCCATAGTTCTTCAGGCATTCTGTCTATCAGATCCATTTCCTTAAATCTATTTGTCACCTCTACTGTATATTCATCAGGAATATGATTTAGTTCATACCTGAGTGGCCTAGTGCTTTTCCCTACTTTTTTCAATTTAAGCCTAAATTTTGCAACAAGAAGCTCATGATCTGAGCCACAGTCAGCTCCTGGTCTTGTTTTTACTGACTGTATAGAGTTTTTCCATCTTTGGCTGCAGAGCACATAGTCAATCTGATTTCTATGTTGACCGTCTGGTGATGTCCATGTGTAGAACCGTCTCTTGGGTTGTTGGAAAAGAGTGTTTGTTATGACCATCGTATTCTCTTGACAAAATTCTATTAGCCTGTGCCCTGCTTCATTTTGTACTCCAAGGCCAAACTTGCCTGTTATTCCGGTTATCTTTTGACTTCCTACCTTAGCATTCCAATCCCCATGATGATAAGGACATCATTTTTGGGTGTTAATTCTATAAGGTGCTGTAAGGCTTCATAGAACCGGTCAATTTCATCCTCTTCAGCACCAGTGGTTGGGGCATAGATTTGGACTACTGTGATATTGAATGGTTTGCCTTGGATTCGAATTGAGATCATTCTGTCATTTTGAGGATTGTATCCCAGTATTGCTTTTCCTATTCTTTTATTGACTATGAAGGCTATCCATTTCTTCTGAGGGATTCTTGCCCACAGTAGTATACCTGATAGTCATCTGAGTTAAATTCACCCATTCCTGTCCATTTTAGTTCGCTGATTCCTAAGATGTCAATGTTCATTCTTGTCATCTCTTTTTTGACTACGTCTAGCTTGCTTTGATTCATGGATCTTACATTCCAGGTTCCTATGGAGAAAAGATCTTTACAGCATCGGACTTTCCTTTCACCACCAGATATATCCACAGCTGAGCGTCCTTTCGGCTTTGGCCCAGTCGCTTCGTTCTTTCTGGCGCTACTAGTACTAGCCCTCTGCTCTTCCCCAGTAGCATATTGGACACCTTCCAACCTGAGGGGCTCATCTTCCAGTGTCATATCTTTTTTCCTTTGAGTACTGTCCATGGGGTTTTCATGGCAAAGATACTGGAGTGGTTTGCCATTTCCTTCTCCAGTGGATCACATTTTGTCAGAACTCTCTGCTATACCCTGTCCGTCTTGGGTGGCCCTGCACGGCATAGCTTATAGCTTCATTGAGTTACGCAAGCCCCTTCGCCACGACAAGGCAGTAATCCATAAAGGGGCAGTAATCCACTTTTCATACTGCACCTTTATTCAGATGCTACTTGATTTTTGTCTGCTTAGGGAGACATTTAGATCATGACACTGAATAGTTCTATAACTAATCTATAAGAGAGTCATAAGCTGCTTCCAAAATAATCGTTGATATTAACATACAGTACAACAACTATATAACTCATACAAAAGAAATTGCGAAGTAAATTCCAGGTTCAGCATTGTTCTAAGATACTGGATGCCTTATCCTTTCCATTTCTGGTTTTTTTTTTTTTTTTTTGCATTGTGATTTCTTAAAATTTTTCATTTTTTATCAAGATTTTCAATAATAAAATGGCATTAAAAAGTGTGCCACCTGAAAGCATAACTTGGGTCACAAGAGCAAATTCAGTGCAATCATGAGAGGCAGATCAATTTGCTTGAGAAATTCCATATTACACACTTCAGAGTATATTTTTCATGGAATGGCCTGGCTTTGTCTTGTTTTCTACTAGTAACCTATTTTCCCTGTAATACTTGGTGAATAATAAAATATTTCATCTTTGCAGAAACCAACAAGGAAACAGAAATAATGAATTTATATTGTCCTGATTTCCATAATTTCTTCATTTTTATCACTAAATTCATTGTTCAGCATTCCCACAAAGGACACCAGATGGTCCTTATAAAAATTATCCCATCATAGTGTCCTTGAAATGCAAATATTGAGGGAAGTAACAAGTCTCAATATGCCGAACTTCCATAATTGGCTAGAGGTGAGATTATAAATCAGTAACTTCAAATGAAATGAAGATTGAGGAATTATTTGTCTTCCTATAAATAGAGTTTGTAGGCAACATTGAAAATCCATAGATTTCTCATTCAGATTTATTTTTTTAAACTAGTCTCGACATTAATATTGATTTTTTTCCCCTTTTGGTGCATGCATGTCACACAGGATAGCTTTAATGTGATCTTATCTGGTATTTTGGAAATATCTGTTTCCATGTGACTCAAAACATTTATATTTTTCCATTGTTTTTATATTAAATTAACTTATTTAAAGTAGCTATATCCCATTATATTAATAGATATCTCTTAATTTCTGATGTTGAAATTTACCCTTTCAAATTATTTTTTCATGTGTTTTTTTTTAAAAAACAAATCTATTCAGCACAGGGATGAGGAACTGCTGTTTGTCCCCCCCCCCCAGCAAATCGGGGCAAATTACACGAATAGAAAAAGAAATCTACACATACAGAATAGGCATGCTGAGACTTAGATTCTTTGTGGTGATCAATAATCAGTGGCCTTGGGTTTCTTTGACTTGTAATGCTGCTATCCTAAGCACACTTACTTAAATGTGTATCTTATTGAATTTATGAGGATTATCTTTGGATAGATATATAGAGAATTACATTTGCAAGAAGTCTAACCCTACAGCTTTTTTATTTTACTGCCTGCTTCTCCAGTACAGGAGATGGAGAATCCACCAATGAGTTTTCTCTGTCTGCCTGCTCTTGAGACCAAGTAGCCAAACTTGACACGCCCCCTCTTGGTCTCAGCTCTTGAAGACGTATCAGGTTTGGCTCTCTCAACAGATAGCAGGTTAGAAATCCATTGGTGAATTCTCCTTTCCCTATAGTACCCTGAAAAATTGACTAAATAATAAATTTGGAATCCTCCCTTAATTTTTCCATAGCACTGGGATCAGTACTAACTCAGATCACAAGAGTTGAGGAGTGAGGGGTGGGGGGGGGGAGGCCTCTGCAGCTTTCCTTTCTTTATCTTTCCCCAGGGCTCTGGGGAAAACTTCTGAGCAGGGGCTGCTTGGAATATTCCTCATTCTTCCCCCCCTTTCCTTTGAGCTACCAGGCGAATTTCAGACTGCAGGTCTGAAATTCAGTGTGCAATTCAGGCCCTCCGGAGTCATCTCCGGCAGCCGGGAATGGTCGCGGACGCCATTTTGGTTGCCATCCAAGGCAACGAATTTAACCTCAGCCTCGTTCTTTGCCTGCCGTTCGGAAATAAGCTTACTGAGCACAATTTCAGTGCAGCGTCTAGTGCTGCCATCGCGATCGTCCCAGGCACCAGAATTTTTGCCTTTGAGGCCTGCGGAGGCCGTTCTCAGCGGAGGACAAGTTGCAGCCACCATTTTGGGGCCCCCGCCAAAGGCAAAAAGTTGCGAACGGCTTTCTTCGGCGTCCTCAGCATTCTGCCCTCCATCGGTGGCTCAATTTCCTCAGCCCTTTTAGGACTTTAATTCCCCGATTACACTGCACACCTCTGGGCACAAATAGCTAGGACAAGTCCCGGCAGCCACCATCTTGAATGCCACGTGGGAGCTTCTTTAGGCCCCACGAGGCCTACTCACAGTAGTTGGCCTGACTCAGGCCGCGTTTGAGATGTATGTTTCCTTCATCGCAAATCACTTACTGCAATACAACACAAATTGTTTAGCCGCCATTTTGAGCCTGATCCTTCCTTGCCAGGCCCTTTTTTTCAGGCCCTCTGCGCCCTTCATTGGGTCTTTTTCTGGTGCACCTTGACTGGCCACCTAAGGCCTCCGGACGGAGCCCAGAGTGGGTCCCCAACCGTGCTTTCGGCATCTGACTCAATTGCCGTGACCAAAGCCCTGATAGAAATTTTTCTGGTCAGGGGAGCAGTCTTGTTATTTGTTCCAATTTTGCTTCTGCCAACTGCTTGCCTATCAGAGCTTCACCTCAGTTTCCCGGAGACTGCTCAACCAGGATGGAGGACTCCACGATGCCTCAACCCATGAGCACTGCCTCCCCATCCTCCAGTTACGGCCGGCACAAATCCTCTGAACAGGAGGCGGCAGGCAAGCCAAAATCTAAGGCTAAGACCACTCTCAAGAAGCCTTCCAAGTTGGCAGAAAAGCAAGCCAGCCATAGGTACCAGGCTCTGGAGAAGGAGTTCTCCAGAACGCAGAGGCAGGCCGGATTAGAGATGGATCAAATGGCGGTCCCTGAATTTGAATCTTCTGAAGATTCAGGCCATAGAACTGGTACCGCCAGACTACAAGGGAGGGGGATTCTACTCCATCCTTTTCGTGGTTCCCAAGACCTCGGGGGGATGGAGAGAGATTCTAGACCTCAAGGGTCTGAACTATTACATCGCTTACAAGAAGTTCAAGATGCAATCACTCCAGTCCATCCTGGGGGGGCATCAGACAAGGAGACTTCCTGGCATCAATAGACCTCACGGAAGTATATCTCCACATCCCCATCCATCCAGCTCACCAGTGGTTCCTCAGGTTCTGTTACAGGGGCAGTCATTTCAGTACAAGGCCCTTCCTTTTGGCCTCTACTCGGCACCCAGAGTGTTCACCAAGATCCTGGCTGTACTAGCTGCCCACTTGAGGAAGGTACCGGTACGCATCCAGTGTTACCTGGACGACATCTTCATTCAAGCGTCCTCCTTCCGGGCAGCCCAGTGGACCTGGAACTCACTATTCAGGTCCTCCAACAGCATGGTTTCTCGGTCAACTTCCAAAAAAGCCAGACGGTTCCCTCATCCAGGCTTCTGCACCTGGGAGCTGTCATAGACATCATGAACTGCATGGTCTATCTCTCCCAGGAGCAGTTGGGTCAGCATCAGGGACCTGGCTTGTTGGGTGTACAGGGACTGCACCGTTCCACTGGTCTTACTCTCCCAGCTTCTGGGAAAGATGGTCTCCTGCATAGCCATAGTTCCCTGGGCCAGACTCCACTTGCGGGACCTTCAATGGTTCCTCCTGCCATTCCAGTGAGTGAATGCCAGCGCATCCAACCGTCAGGTCAGGCTCCCGGTCTACATCCTCAGGTCTCTACGCTGGTGGGTCACCCTTCAGGGAACTGGACCACATCACCATTACGATGGACGCCAGTCTATTCGGTTGGGGAGCCCATCTACAGTCTCAGTTTGTGCAGGGCCATTGGTCCCGCACAGACTTGAGACACAACATCAGTTGGCTGGAGCTCAGAGCCATTCCTTTAGCTCTTTGCCAATTCAGGCACTGGAACAAGTGCCGTCACGTATTGATCCTCACGGAGAACGTGGCATCCAAGGCACACATCAACTGACGGGGGCACCAGGTCCAGGTCCCTTATGTCCGATGCACGGCTACTGGGTTCCTGGGTAGAGTCTAACCTGGCCTTTCTCAGGGCCGAACACATCTCAGGGGTCGAGAACCAGCAGGCAGACTTTCTGAGTTGCTCTACGGTGGACCCCTCGGAATGGGGGTTACATCCGGATCTGTTTTCCGAGATCTCCCACAGGTTCGGCCATCCGATCCTCGACCTGTTTGCGTTGTCGACCAATGCCCAACTCCCCAGGTACTTCTCCCGCTATTATCTTCCAGGGGCGGAAGGGACGGACGCCTTGCGGACTCCGTGGCCACAAGGTCTCCTTTATGCCTTTCCTCCCCTCCTGCTCATCCCAGCGACCATCCGCAAACTACTCCAGGAGCAGGCGGAAGTGATCCTCGTGGCCCCGTACTGACCACAGAGGCCCTGGTTTGCCGACCTGATGAATCTTTCCCAGTCTCCTCTGTAAAAGATTCCTCCGCATCGTGTGTCCTTGCACCAGGGGATCCTCCAACACCCGGACCCTCAATGGTTACAGCTGACCGTCTGGTGCTTGAGCACCGCATCATGACACAAGAGTTATTTTCCCCACACGCAATTACCATGATTCAGGCCTCCCGTTGCCTGGCGACCAATCGCATTTATGATTCTACTTGGAAAAATTTTTGCCATTGGTGTAGAAGGCGACAACTGGATGTCTACAAATTGACCATCCCTCAGATCGTAGATTATCTTCTGGACGGTCTGGACAGAGGCCTGGCCCTGCGACCATTCATAGGCAGGTGGCGGCCCTGTCAACATTGCTCACTTGTGCGGATTCAGTTCCTTTAGCTCATCATCCTAGAATACACGCCTTCATAAAGGGGGCGTGCAACACCAGGCCTCCCGTGGTACACAGGTACCCCTCTTGGGAGCTGCCTCGTGTGCTTCGCGCTCTGACAAAACTACCCTTTGAGCCCATAGCTACTGTTCTGTTGTGGAACTTGTCTCTTAAGGTTGCATTCTTAATCGCCATCACGTCAGCCAGACGTATCTCCGAGCTGGCTGCTCTCTCAGTCAGGGATGACCTTTGCATCTTCCACCGAGACCGGGTGGTCCTTCGGTTGGATCCGGCTTTTGTGCCCAAGGTCAACTCGCTCTTCCATAGGGCACAGGAACTCATTTTACCAAATTTTTGTCCCAATCCTTCCCATGACTTGGAGCGGCAGTGGCACACACTGGACGTCCACAGGGCCCTGCGGCATTACATCAAGTGCACAGAGCCTCTTCATAGATCTGAGGCCCTCTTTATTTCCTTCCATCCGGCTTCTCTGGGACAGAAGGTGTCCGCTGGCACTATTGGCAGGTGGATCAGGGCCTGTATCGCAGAGGCATACCAGTCTTCTTCTCTTCCGGCTCCAAGTCATCTTACAGCCCATTCCACTCGCAGCGCTGTGACATCTGCGGCATGGTCCACTCAAGCATCCATCGAGGAGATTTGTGGGGCTGCGACATGGTCCTCGCCCTCTCCATTCGTATGCCAGTATAGAATTGACCACTTTGCTTCCGCGGACGCCTCCTTTGGTCGGAGGGTCCTTCAGCAGGTGGTCTCGGGGGACATTGTTCCGGCCTTATCTGTTTCCCACCCATCGGGACAGTGAGGCTTTGGTATGTTCCATTGGTGAATTCTCCATCTCCTGTACTGGAGAAGGGGCGTTGTCTTACCTGAATGCCTTTTCTCAGTACAGAGATGGAGAATCCACACCCACCCTTTAGGTCAGTTAGGCTGATATTAAGGGATTGAGAGCCAACACCTCGTCCCCCTTCAGCCACTTTCGCCCTTGTCAAGACTGGATCTCCTAACAAGAGGGGGCGTGTCAAGTTTGGCTACTTGGTCTCAAGAGCAGGCAGACAGAGAAAACCCATTGGTGGATTCTCCATCTCCGTACTGAAAAAAGGCGTTCAGGTAAGACAATGCCCCTTCTGTTCACTTTTGAGATCATTTTATTCTAACAGTGTGATTATTTTTGTGACATAGATGTTTTATTGAAAGAATGTCAGAAAAACTGGCTTTTAATCTGTCATCTGGAAATGGCATGGATTTAACTTTCCCTTTTCTAGCTAGTTTTAGCACTGTTATTTTCGAGCTAACACATTTAAAATCCCAGTATCGCCTTCTTTGTTTACAGAAAATAAACTATGACAATAATCTTAACTGATTTGTGAAAATGCGAAATGTGCAGTTCAAATGCTTTTGTTGTTACATCATCTGACCATGATAATTCAAAGTAGGGCAGGTCTAGAAAAGCTATTGGAATCCTGTCACATGTCTAGCTATACTAATTAAAATGTTTTTGATGCATGCCCTATATCGGAGTCCCCAGTGCTTGCTTGCATGCTTGCTTTGCTGTGCTTCCACTCTGCTT